TCCGGCCACTATGTTCCAATTAACTCCTTAATTTTAAAAAATTATCTTATAATGTAAATGTTCTTCGTTGCCGTTGTCCATGTACCTAGACTCTGTAAGGTAGAAGAAAGTATTATTTAAAGACGTGGGTTTCAAAAATTCAACTGCACATTTATTCAATAAAATAAGTAAAACAATTCATTGTGTATTTAATTCATGTTTGATAAAAGTATGCGAATAAAAAAAAAGTTCAACAAGCGCCCGACAGGACCCATCCAAATATGGTGTTCTGTGCTAATAGCGGGCCGAGAGTACCCGCAGGAATTGCGCCGAGTAGGATTTTGGGGAAGACCTCGGCGCCTAATACTAAGCGGACTGGCGCAGCGATGTGGAAGCGCGGGTCCGCGAGCTTCAGGTTCGAATAAGCGGCGACTACGGTAGCGTCCAAACTAGTATTTGGTGTCCGCTTCCGATAATTTTTGAGGGAAATTGCGTGCGTCGTAACGGTGGCTGACTGTCCATGCTTTCCTCTCAACTTAATGAAGTAGCCCCTCTGGGAATTTATTGCAGTTCCCCCAAGATTTAATTCCCTCGCCAAATCTTCGGCGATTATGGACGTTGAAGCGCACGCATCAATTACGGCTCGAACCAAATGTAGGCGGCCCGCTGCTTCTATCTTGACCACAGCTGTCGGCGCGATCGATGTGAGGGCTTGAATCGGATGTACCGGGGCTCGGAGGTCCTGGACCATACCTGACCGGAAACCGGTTCTAGGCGGAAGGTGGAACGCTTGTGATTCCACTCTTCCATGCTGTCGCCGATGACGCGGTCGTTTGTTCAGTCGTCGAGTTTGAAGACTATGCCATTCGTTTCGCGGTTGGAAAGTTCTCATTTCCATTCCGCTTAGCTCTCTTTGCTCATATCTCAAGAGCTGCCCGTAGCGCTGGGGTTCCAGCTCCACTTCACTAGCCGAGTCCAGATGGAGTGCGTTTGACTCCATTCCGGTTGATTCTTCTGGGCGGAAAGCGCTAGTTTCCGCTCCAGTTTCTGGCATATCGCCCTCCTCTAGATCTGGGCGGAAAGCATTAGTTTCCGCTCCAGCGACTGGCATTTCTTCCTCCTCCAGGTCTGGGCGGAAAGCATTCGATTCCGCTCCGACCTCAGACGCATCTAGTGAAAGCGCATCATCACTGTCATTGTTGATTATTGGCCTCCTTGATCGTCGCTGACGTCTTGATCCATCGCTCACGTTCTCAATATGGAGCATGGTGTGGTGTTCTTCGTTACAGCGTCGACATCTCCCTGGGTTAGTGCAGTGTGCTGCACGATGTATCCCCGATAAACAATTCGTGCAATAGCGATGGATCAGAACGTCACGCAGGCGTTCTTCTGGTCTTTTTGCACGAAATATTGGGCATACTCTTAAGGGATGCTTGTTGCTGCATAATCTGCACGTCAGCGGGTAATTATTTGCCTCAGCTTGTTTGCGTACATTAGTGAAGCGAGTCATCTTCTGAAATAATCTTGTATGTAGCGCACCGACAAAAATGATCGATTTTGGAATGGCGAGCAATATTGAAACGAGATGGAGCATATACGGTTTTTTCCGTAATTTCGTTAACTGACTAAAAGTGCACAGTGTTATGACCCCTTAATGATTGATAGGTGGTTTGACCGTGCATACATGCCTTTATGGTTGGTACAACAGGGTTGCAAGAGGTAAGTGGGTTTATTACCTGACATGGAGATGGCACGAGAAGTATGGTGGAAACAAATTATTATGTAGCAATTATCATTTTTTTTTCTTTTTCGTCAGTCTCTGTGCTCGCATTAAATTGCATCAATGAAAAACTTATGCAATTGAAAAATAGATAATAATAAATAATTATGTGTTATTTATTACTACCCACCCCCTCTATATGAAAAAAAAAGCACACATAATTTCATTTACTGCAATCACATCAATGCCAACTAATGCAATGCAAGCTAATTTGCGCAAAACTGGGTACAGAAACTTGCAAGTGCAGCCCGAGTGTAAATACTCTCAAGGTAACTCTGTAAAGTATCGAACTTATTTCTCATGTTATCGATAGTAGAACCTACTTCCGTGAATGGCCGCCTGTCATTCACAAGCAAGGTTATATATATTGTGTTTACGACAAGTGCGGTTGTGCGGTTGTGCGGTGCCGGTAAAATATTTGTGCTTGTGGATTGGCAAAAACCATAAAAAAGCGGCGCGAGTGTAGCAAAATAAAAACAACCCGTTGGTGTTTGAAGCAGCCCCGTGAAAATAAATTGGTAACTCCAGGTAATTAAATGTGTAAGTAGTGCGAATGTACATACAACCAAAACAAATATGCGAAAACAAAAAACAGTGCCTCAATGAAGGAATAAAGGCGGAAAATTATTGTTAAAAATGCGTAAATTAAAGTTAATTCGAACCTGAAGAAAAACGTGCGTAATAAAACATATGTACATACGTAGGTATTGGGAAACATAGGTACCGAAGTACCGGTGCGATATTTAATTCACGTAAAGTTCTGTGTAAAAGTGCCTTATACATACAAATATGTACATACATATGTACATGTTGTACTAGTTGTTCGCGTTAAGGGTGTGTCAGACGGGAAGGATAAAATTTATTTCTACATGCGAAGAAATAAACATTGCGAAGTGTGACTGAAAAGAGTGCAAATCGATTTCGAAAAATATATTTCAACTTGCTCGTGTTTCCCTAGCAATTTTCACTTCTGCTGCAAGTTTTGTCAAATTATTACTGATTGCAAATTGTGAGAAATAATAAAAATAATTTGGAATAATTGTCAAAAAAAACGTTTTGGAAATAAACCTAATTTCAGCAGACACTACAAATTTTCCTGTGATAGCTTATCCGAAAAAATATTGCACTACAACGTCTGACACCCCCTTTATGCCGTCGTAGTTTCAGTACATGCATGCATATATGTACATACATACATACTTATGGATGTTTGAAATGCAGCTCAACGCCTGAACGGCACATTTTTCGCACATTCCATTCTTTTGCCTTAAGGCTCTGTTATGCATACTTGGCATTGCATGCACTGCTATACCATTTTTACGTAGAAATCAAAAACCAACAAACTTCTACGTATGTAGTGCTGTGCGTTCGATAACCGATTACACGCGAGGCTCATTTGACAGATTTCTTATGTGACAGCTCTCAAGCCATGCCAAGTATGCATAACGAAGCCTTTAGAGTTGTAGTTTCAGTACATGTATGTATACATGTACATACATACATACATATGTATGTATGAAGTGCAGCTCAATGCATGAACGGCACAATTTTGGCACATTCCATACTTTTGCCTTAGGGATGGTCAATGGCGCGTATGCTTATGTGTTGACACAGTGTGTTGGTATCATTGTGTCATTGCTGCTGCGCTACTGTACTGGGTTACAGATTACTAATGTGTGTAATTTAAAATGAAATGAAATAAAATGCGTTCGCCGGCAAATACGTTGAGATGGAAATATCGAAAGAAATTTAATACGTGTATATGTATGGCGGGTGAATGCGTTTGAAATTACTACGGGGATCTGCTTAAAGCTGTTTTTTTTTTTTTTTTGTTTATAAAAGAATGTGCAGCACAGGACATGGATTAACGCATCGAAGGAATGGTGTTGCAGATGCAGCCAGGATGGCCGGCAATATGCGCTATCCACAATGCCCAGTGGACGGTGAATTCTTTGAAGCAGAACCAGCCACCAGACGACCAAAGAAAAAAGATCGGAAGAGACGAAAGGAAAAAGGGGGTAAGTGCTTTACAATTAAAATGTTTCTATGTTCTCCTATTGTATTATTGATATAAACCAGCCTACTCTGTTCGCGGGCCGTTCCATGGTGACTGGTGCAATGTGATTGTGTGAAATAATTTTACATACGTAGATGGAAAAAATTAATGAAATTTAAACATTAAGTACGTTACTTCTCATTCGGTATAGCTAGAATTGGTTTTAATTTCATGTTGTTTACGTCTTTGAAATAGCAATATGTACAATTAGCGATTCTTCTCATTGGCAAGTTGTTTTCGCATACGAAAACGTTAACGACATGAAAAAACTCCTAGCAATTTCTACCAAATTTATTGAACAGTGTGTGTCTAAATGTAACTATCGTCTTAATGGTTCAATTTCATTAAGTATGCAAATTTATTTTTGAATTTCAATTCAATATGGAAAGGTGTGGTAGGTGGAAGGGTTTTTTTTTCATATGGATTTATACAGACGCCATAGTTTCATCGTTATCCGTGGTATAGGGTGGTAGTAGTACTAGTTTGACAAGGGGTCTTGTCACTCTACCCTTTTCAGTTATGACCTCTACAACACGAACTCGATTGTCAGAACCTGGGTGCAAATTAGCCACCCTCCCTAATCTCCATTCGTTAGGTGGAAGATTATCCTCTCGTATGACCACCATGTCTCCCACTTTTATGTTGGATTTAGGATGTTTCCACTTTATTCGTTTCTGTAGTTCGGTAAGGTACTCCGATTTCCACCTCCTGCAGAAGTTTTGATGCAAGGCTTTGAGTTTCTGCCAACGATTGACGATCGAGGCTGGGTTTTCGTTCACATCTAGTTCTGGTGGAGCCAAGATGTGTCCGCCTACCAAAAAATGACCTGGAGTTAAGGGCTCAAGGTCAGATGGTTCATTGGAAGCTGGGCTCAGCGGACGTGAGTTGAGACACGACTCAACTCGGCATAGTAGAGTGTTGAATTCCTCAAATGTGTACTTCATATTAGACGCGATCTTTTTAAAGTGGCTTTTAAAGCTTTTCACACCTGCCTCCCACAGACCACCCATGTGCGGAGCTGCGGCAGGTATGAAATGCCAAGTCAATGCCTGATGGGCATATTTTGATAACGTATTCGTCCGAGCGTCGGATAAAAATGCCTTTAGTTCCGCTTTTAAAGCCCGTGATGCTCCTACGAAATTTGTCCCATTATCTGAGTACACATTTTTTGGACACCCTCGTCTGGAAACGAATCTGGAAAATGCTGCTAAAAACGATTGAGTACTTAGGTCGCTTGTGGCCTCTAAATGAATGGCCTTGGTAGAAAAGCAGACAAATAGACACACATAACCCTTTGACATTCGGCAGCCTCGTCCACGATAACTCTTAATGTCGAATGGTCCAGCAAAATCCACCCCAGCATTGGTAAATGGTCGCGAAAAAGTTGTTCGCTCTTGTGGAAGAATCCCCATAAGTTGGCCTTGCGCGCGTTTTTTATAGATAGTGCAGATCTTGCAGTTATGGATTGTGGACCTTATCATCGTTTTCACCTTAGGAATCCAATACTGCGTTCGTATGAGACGCAACATTAGTTGATTCTCACCATGGAGAGAAGTTTCATGGATGAATTGGACAATCAGACGGGATAATCTACAATTGTATGGGAGTATAACGGGATGCCGTTCGTTGTACGCTAGATCCAGAGATGTGCCAAGACGACCCCCCGTCCGCAGCACATCATCTTTATCCAGAAATGGATTAAGAGGAAGTATTTCACTCTTAGACTCAATGCACTCTTTAGTTTTCAGTTTCGCGATTTCTGCTCCGTAATGTTGCTTCTGAGCAAGTTTAATCAGGCGAGTAGTCGTTGATTTAATTTCATTAGATGAAATTAAGCAAGATTCCGACTGAAAAGAAGCTTTTGTCTTCGGATGGGTTCTTTGAAAGAAACGCAATATATAAGATATCACCCTCAAAGCCCTCGGTAAACTAGAAAACCGGTCAAGAATGTCATTGATTTTGTCTGTCGATGTTGTTGCATGAACGTGCACCCTTTTTTCCTCAATGCTCGTGGTGAAGTCTGTCTCTTGGATTGGCCAATTTTCCCTATTTTCTTGTAGCCAAGAAGGTCCCTGCCACCACAAAGAATTTTTGACCAATTCGTTCGCCAGTATGCCTCTGCTTGCTAAATCTGCGGGATTCGTAGCTGAATCGACGTGAAGCCAGTTCAAGTTCCCTACTTTGTCTAAGATTTTTGTAATTCGGTGGGCAACGAAAGTTGACCACGAACATGGGGGCTTGCGTATCCACGCCAGAACAATCGTCGAATCAGTCCACAGATGTATGTTTAGGTGGCCTAATTCAAGATTTTTGGTGATTGATTCGACTATTTCTGACAGTAACACCGCCCCGCAAAGTTCTAATCTAGGCAAAGAAATTGTTTTGACTGGCGCTACTCTAGTTTTTGCTAATAGCAGATTTACAAGTACTTTATCCTCTTTTTCCACGCGTAAGTAGACTGCGGCAGCGTACGCTTTTTCGGATGCGTCGCAGAATCCGTGAATCTCTACCTTTTCCGTTGGTGAGAAAGATACCCAACGTGGTATCCTTATATTATTGATTTCCTGATAGTTTCTCGTGAAATTCTGCCATCTATCTAGTGTTGTTGGGGACACCGTCTCGTCCCAGTCTGTACCCTCTAACCATATGCTCTGCATAAGTATTTTCGCGACAATTATCATTGGAGCTAGCCAACCTAACGGGTCAAAGAGTTTAGCGATGGCTGATAATATCGCTCTCTTCGTTGGATTGACGTTATCTTCTATTGGCTTGGCTATAAAATAAAATTGGTCGGAATGCGCGTTCCACCTTATACCTAGGGCTTTTACACTGCTTGTGTCCTCAAACTCTAAGAAATTTTCACTCAGCAGATGTGCTTTTGGTATGCCTTGCAATATTTTATTGCAATTCGACGTCCATTTTCTAAGTGGAAAACCAGCTGATTTTAAAACTGCGGAAATCTCATCCCTGGCTTTTATCGCGGAGTCAATAGTATGTCCTCCGGCAAGAACGTCGTCGACATACATACTTTTTCGTAAAATGTTCGAGGCTATAGGATAGAGGCTTTCTGAGTCATCAGCTAGCTGGAGCAATGTCCTTATCGCGAGATAAGGAGCACAATTTATACCGAAAGTAACCGTCTTTAATTCGTAAATACTAATTGGTTCGTTTGGACACGTACGGAAAATTATTCGTTGGTACTTCGTTTGGTTGGCGTCTACAAGAATTTGCCTATACATCTTCTCAATATCGCTATTGAAGACGTATCTAAAAAGTCTCCAGCGGAGAATCAACACTGGTAAATCAGACTGAAGCACTGGCCCTGGAAGAAGAATATCGTTCAGGCTGACACCATTGGCTGAAGACGACGAAGCATTGAAAACCACCCGAACCTTTGTCGTAGTACTCTCTTCTTTTACCACAGCGTGATGTGGTAAATAGTAACTGTCGACTGCATCTGCTGACTGAATTGCATTAACTTTAGACATATGGCCCATTGTCTCGTATTCCATTATGACTTTGTTATATTCCCTCTGTAAGTCTGGATTTTTTCTAAGTCGAGTTTCGTTCTTGTAAAATTGAGAAAACGCGATTTTGAGTGATGGCCCTAAGTTTATATCAGCCGGGAACTCCGCCTTGAAAGGAAGCGACACGATGTACCTCCCATCTGGATTCCGCTGTGTTGTACGCTTGTAAAGCTCCTCGCACTTTGCTTCCTCAGCTGTTGCAGTTTTATCTCGTGGAAGATCCTCAAGTTCCCAAAAAGAGCTTAGCTGTTTGTCTAGGGCCACTTCATTGAAGAACGATACTCTATTATTGTTGGTTGGGTTGACTGCATCAGCACGACCAGTCAGTATCCAACCGAACACTGTTTCTTGTGCCAGAAGAGTACTAAGAACATTCTTCTTAATGCCACTCAAAATTATATGGGGATATATGTCCCCTCCCAAGACAAGATCGACTTGCTCATTTACATAAAACCTTTTATCTGCCAGGATGAGATCAGGAAAAGCTTGTTGTGTTAGTGCGCTAATGTCGCAAGTTGGCAAATTCCCGGTAAGAGTTGGTAGCACTAACACAATAGCATCAATTGAAATGAATGGGTCAATCGGTGACCGCAACTGTATAGAACACGCTTCTTTTACCTGTGCAGAAACCGTATTATTGATGCCCGAAACTTGAGCATGCATTTTCTTTGTGGGCAAGTTGATTCTGCGTCTGAGCCTCTCCGTAATGAAGGAACACTCAGAGCCAGAATCAATTAGAGCTCTAGCAGCATAATTGGTGCCATTATAATGAATAGTAACCCGAGCAGTGCCGAGTAAAACACCTTTGCTAGTATTAGCGTGATGTGATTGCACCTTTTTTACTTGGTTACTTTTCCCCTTTGAAGCTTGATTCCTCAATTGTGCCTGTCTGGAAGTCGATGGTAAATTGTCCGCAGGATTAGAAGTATTTTCCCTGGTAGCTGTTTTAGGCGGTGCTGTCTGATTGTGTAGGAGCGTATGGTGTCGAGAATGGCAATTGGCGCAGTTGTAAGAACTCGTGCATTTCGACACCGAATGTCCGAAAGACAGACAGTTAAAACAGCTATTGTTCGTTTTTACAAAGGAGATTCTATCAGCTACAGACATCTTCAGAAATTTTGGGCACATATGAATTCTATGCTCGTTGCATTGGCACATTTTGCACATGTATTTGGCGACACTAGTTTGAAAAACGCCAAGTTTCTTGTGAGAGGGTTCAGAGGAATGCTTATGACTTGGCACTTTTGAAAACTTCGAAGTCTTGATTCCTCTTAAACCTGAAACCGATTCTAACGTTTGAAACCTGCTTGAAAGGAATCGGTCCATATCTGACCACTTGGATATTTCTGTTTTATTTTCTACCGATTGTTCCCACAGCGAAAGGGTTTCCTCAGGTAGTTTAGTAGAACACAGATACGTAATAATAGGGTCCCAGTTTGAAATGTCAATCTGGTGACTCTCTAGGGATGATATACAATTATTAATATCCCTTTGTAATCTCTTTATTGAGCTTCCACATTCGCTATCAACTGTATTCAAGTTGAAGAGAATCTTCAACTGAGTGTTAACTAGGATCCTCTTATTTTCGTATCTATCGCAAAGATTCTTCCAGGCTGTGTTAAAGCCTTCATTCGTTAAGTCGCATTTCTTGACAATTTCTTTGGCTTCACCCTGCGTTTTTTGATTCAGATAATAAAGCTTCTGTATGGGTGTTAGCCGTTTGTTCAAGATATAAATTGCCGTGAACATGTCACGAAAAGTTGGCCACGACAAATAATCACCTTTAAAAACGTCAATATCGCAAGGTGGAAGATGCAAACTATGCGAAGCTTTCCTTTTCTGATTTTTCCAACTTTTCGGAATATTCGTTAATTTTTGTCATACACCGGACAAAAGCTGCATAGCAGATCTTATTTTTCTTTCTTATAGCGCTAACATCTTTAGCCCTAGTTGATTCGGTAGTCAGAACTTCGTCAAAGAGTGCTTTGGCTTTCTCCCACAGTACACTAAGCTCGCTTTGCTGAATTTTCAGCGAATGTTTGGTGTGCTCACCTGTGGGAGTGCTCAGAAATTCTGTATCAAATTCAATGACCGAATCTGCTAACCGGGTGTATGTTTCCATTTTATTTAATTTTTTCACTTATTTGCGAAATAACAACTTCACAAGAAATTTTTGGAAGTATCACTATGAGAGACTGACTCAAAAGAAGCCGATTTTCCAACCGTAAAGGTAGCACACGAAGAAAATCCTATGTCAAGGTAACCCAAAACTATATACCCAATGTATATAAGCAGAATGCACCACCAAAATACCACCAATTCAACCACAAAGTAATAAAAATTCTCTATTTTTCCTTTAAACTGTATCTGTGAACCTTTTATGTTTATTAACACCGATTTAGCAATATAAATGCGTTTTAAGTATACGTATGTATGTATGTTTGTTTGTTCACAAGAAATTGCTCGCCAACCAAACCAGTGAGATCTGTATATGTATGTATGTGTATATATTCTTATGTACAAGCGCGTTATATGCCAAGTGCAAATAAATAATGAATATGGAAAAACACACCACTTGACTAATTAGAAATAGTGCCACAATTTGTATTGGTTTTTAATAAATTAAATGCAAACGCGAAAGTGATTTTGTGAAAAGGAAATATTGCAAGTACCAAAGTTCGGTGCAGTGAAAAGTTTGGTTATGTAAACCGAATACAAGTGCAGTGTTGTTGTTGGTAAATTTCGGTACTAAAATGCAAGTCACCAAGGAAAATATGATTAACAAAAATTAAACTATTCGAATTAATCACCGTAAAGAAACTTCTTGCAAATTGTTTCGCGATAATTCCAAAGCAAAACAAAACACTGCCTTTTTTTTTTTTATGCCCGATCACACTTGTTTAATATTTAAATGGCTTTAGCGCCCACAAATGTATGTACATATATATGTGCGTGTGTGTGTGTCACTTAGCACTTCGGTTGCAATTAAAACTTTAAATTTTTCACAAAATCACTCACGAATTCTTGATTATTAACTAAATAAATGCTACACAAGATAATCTAAGTGCAGTGAAATTTGACCCACGTACCTTTAATTTAAAAAATTGATGGCTTTATTTATCTAACAGGTGTCGGTGTTCGTGTGTGTGTTTTTGCTGTTGATGCTGGAAGCTCCTGTGGTTGCTTTGTGCAAAAATTTTGTAGCTGCTGCTGCAATGTACGGCTGCTTCAGATAGGCTCAAATTGGAATCTTCGGATTGGCTCAAAAAGCTGGGCGCTGGCAAGTGGAAAATGTTACGGCGTTGAAGGACCAGTATGTTAAACCGGCACAACGCTTGAGCAAGGTCGTGGCCGATTTAATTTGTTGGAATAAGAAATAAAGCAAAAACGTTTGTATTAATTTTAAATATAAATTCGTGTTTATTCAATATCGATATTGGTATTAATATATGTATGTATATATTTGGTTTTACAGGTTACCTTTGATTTGACTCAGGAACACAATGGCTGGAACGCGTCCTCTTGGATTCACTCTCGGAAAACAAGTAAGTGACCGGTTGAAATTTCTTCTTACTGTTGCCTGTCGAACTGTATATTTACCGAAGGGACATTTTAGCATAAGTAACATAGTGGTAAACAGTTCGACAGTTGACATAATAATGAAGTTATGTTAAGCATTAGGGTGGGTCGAAAATGCTGCGACAAATTTAGGCCGTTGGCCTAAACAGGTATTATGAAAGACTCCTTCCAGGCTGACGGAAAAACGCCATGTTTAAGTGACAAATTGAATAGAGTTGTTAAAGGCTCGCAGATGTTCTCAGCGCAGTTTTTAAGAAAACAGGTCGGAATATGATCAGGTCCAGGCCTAAATGACGCTTTTAAGGTTTTTAAAGAGTGTAAAACTTCATCGGAAGATATTACTGGAATATTAGCAGAGTTGATTGGACAAAGCTCGTACGGATAGTCTCCACTTATAGGGAAGTCTACAGAATAATTGGACCTAAAGAACCGAGCAAACATGTTGGCAATGAGTTGGCTGTCGCTAGATACAGTGTTGCGATAATGCATAGCGGACGGAAAACCATGTGCCTTACGCTTTGAATTTACGAAACCATAAAATGATTTAGGATTGTTAATTAAATTCTTCTTAATTTTACATAAATATGAATTATAACATTTCTTATTTAATGCAAAGTAGCTATGCCGCAAAACTGAGTACCTTAGGTAATCACTGTGTAAGCCCGTTCTTTTATACAGTTTAAAAGAGTGCGACTTTTTATTTTTCAATTTTTTAAGCTCTTTAGTGAACCATAATTGTATTGGTTCTTCATGCAACGCGAGCCATGTGGGACCGTTATAGGGAACTGAAGAAGGAAGCGAGACGTATTTGCCGCAATAAGAAGAGAGAGGCCGAAATACGTGAGTGCGAAGAGCTTGAGATGCTGGCCGACAGGAAGAACGCCCGAAAATTCTACCAGAGGGTTAGGCGACTTACGGAAGGTTTCAAGACCGGGGCGAACTCCTGTAAGAACAACAATGGCGACCTAGTGACCGATGTCCAGAATATGCTTAAATTGTGGAGGGAACACTTTTATAACCTACTGAATGGTAGCAGCGCTGAAAGTAGTGAGGAAGACGAACCCGAGTCCCCAGTCGATGATGATGGAGTAGCTGTCCCACCGCCTGACTATGACGAGGTACGAATAGCGATTACGCGGCTGAAAAACAACAAAGCTGCTGGAGCTGACGGCCTGCCAGCCGAGCTATTCAAGTACGGCGGCGAGGAGCTGATGAGGTGCATGCATCAGCTCGTATGCAGAATATGGTCAGATGAACGCATGCCCGACGACTGGAATTTAAGCCCAATCCACAAGAAAGGCGACCCCGCCATACGCGCCAACTACCGCGGAATTAGCCTTCTAAGCATAGGTTACAAGGTCTTATCGAGCGTATTGTGCGAAAGACTGAAGCCCACCGTCAACGAGCTGATTGGACCTTATCAGTGTGGCTTTAGGCCTGGAAAATCCACCATAGATCAGGTATTCACAATACGCCAAATCTTGGAAAAGACCCGCGAGACACACCATCTATTTGTCGATTTCAAAGCCGCTTTCGACAGCACGAAGAGAAGTTGCCTTTATGCCGCGATGTCTGAATTTGGTATCTCCGCGAAACTAATACGGCTGTGTAAAATGACGTTGAGCAATACCACCAGCTCCGTCAGAATAGGGAAGGACCTCTCCGAGCCGTTTGATACCAAACGAGGTTTCAGACAAGGGGACCCCCTTTCGTGTGATTTCTTTAATCTTATGTTGGAGAAGATAATAAGAGCCGCAGAACTGAACCGCTCAGGCACAATACTTTATAAGAGCGTACAATTGCTGGCGTATGCCGACGACATCGATATTATCGGTAAAAACAAGGGCTACGTCTGTTCTGCCTTCTCGGGATTGGATAGAGAAGCAAAGCGAATGGGTCTGGTGGTGAACGAGGACAAAACGAAGTATCTCCTGTCAGCACACAAACAGTCAGAGCATACGCGTCTTGGCACCCACGTCACTGTTGACAGTTACAAGTTTGAAAAAGTAGACGACTTCGTTTATTTGGGAACCAGCATTAACACCAATAATAATGTCAGCCTTGAAATCCAACGGAGAATCACTCTTGCCAACAAGTGCTACTTTGGGCTGAATAGGCAATTGAGAAGTAAAGTCCTCTCTCGTCGTACAAAGATCACACTCTATAAGTCACTCATCGTGCCTGTGCTGGTATATGGCGCGGAAGCATGGACAATGAAAGCATCTGATGAGGCGGCTCTTGGAGTTTTCGAGAGAAAGATTCTGCAAAAGATTTACGGACCTTTACGCGTTGGTGATGGCGAATATCGCAGACGATTTAACGATGAGCTGTATGAGCTTTACAACGATATAGACATAGTGCAGCGAATTAAAATTCAGCGGCTCCGCTGACTTGGCCATGTCGTTCGGATGGACAGAAACGCTCCTGCTCTGAAAATATTCAACGCGGGCCGCGATGCTGGGAACAGAGGAAGAGGAAGGCCTCCTCTGCGTTGGAAAGACCAGGTGGAGAAGGACTTGGCTTCACTTGGCATTTTCAATTGGCGTCAGTTAGCACAGAAGAGAAATGACTGGCGTTCTGTTTTGGACTCGGCCAAAATCGCTTAGGCGCTTACAGCGCCAAATAAGAAGAAGAAGTAGCAAGCTAACTATTTTTGGCCGCAGTTATATTGCATCACGACACTGTGCACCGCCGCCATTGTTTAGCCTTTTCGGCCATGGCTGAAGCCAACACACATTATTATGTTATGCCAATTCCATGTTGCATGCAACATTAATAACACAAAAGCCAAGCGCAGTGAAAATGACTGCAGCAGTTGGTTGGTTGGTCTTTATAGTTGCCATAATATATATGTATGTACATCCCTATGGGCCGGTTATGGCGTGCAGTTGCAAGAGCTGCATTTGAGTGAGGCGCATTGAAAATTTCTGATGTCACATGGGAAGAATAATTTTTCACTCAGATCGGATTTATCATTCAGGACTCTTCTACCCTCAAGGGTGGAGGAAAACGAGACTATTTGAGAAAACGCGAATCTATCTATCAAAATTTGTATGGAAGCGTTGGTGTTGATGTACATACATACGTAGAATGTACGAGTTTATGCCAATACTGTTAAAATGCCATTTAAGTACTTTTCGCCTTCAAGATTACTATAGCGTCTTTCTTGCTATACTAATGGCAATCGATGAGCTCGTAGCACCGATAAGATGCGATGTGTCATATCGATACATATAATATTTACGATATCATTGATGGTCAGGCTGCTAAAAGATATCTCACAAGACAGTCGCTAATCTTCGCGATATCATTGAAAGACCACAAATCTCTAAACGACATGTCTGAGTCAAAAAAGAAATGCGGTTTGCAAGTCTTCGTGACATAGAGGAAAAATGTAAATCCGACGAACTGGTCCGACTCGGCATAGAGCTTCCAAGCAGGGACATATGTAAGTGATGTAATAGGTATATGTACCGTTACACTCCTCTAAACTCTTTGTCGCCGAAAAATTACATGACAATTGTGGCCAAAACTTAGCCTCAAGTGCATGCACATGTTTAGTCTAAACAAGGATATTTGCATTGTAACTTTTGGTATACAGGGCATTACCTATTAGATAGAAAGCTCGGCAACTGCACAAAGGGTCTTAGGGTACGTAGACACAGGAAGCCGAGCCGAGCCGATCGAAACCGTTCTAAGCGTAGCGAAGCTTTCAAATTGCTGTAGATATATGAAAATGTTGAATTAGGCTAATGGTCGGCGTTGAGCCGAACATAGACCGGTTGGTTCTTAGCGTTACGAGTTAGATCTCGGTTTTACACGTTAAAATAGACATCTCAAAGGATGTCAAAGATTTTTGCGAATATCACTAGAGATTTCAGCTCTACTTTTGAGATGTCTTTTAACTTCCAAGCATTTTGGTCACATTTATGACAGTGCAGGACATCGGTTGAGAAGATACTACGAGGTCTCACTGGTCTCCCGCTCACGGTATTCCCTGCACCTGTCCACGCTAGTGATATCCATTTTTTGTGCATCGGCACCCACCGTAAGTGTTCCGGTAATAGCTCTTCAATCTTTCTTTGGTAGCCGTAACAAGTAGCTAGTATAGTCGATTCCGCCGTTTTTGCACATAATTTTTGCAGTTTTGCTGGTGGTTAGCCCTGAACTGCCTAATCATATTATCGTCTTTTTCGTTGTACAAGTGTTGAAGTGGTCTACGATTGTAGTTTGTCTGTTCTAGAGTCAGATTGGTGGCATTCTTGGCAATCTCATCTGCTTTTTCATTACCCTATATTCCCTTGTGGCCGGGAACCCAATAGATATGAGGTAGCTGCCTTAATTGCCGTATTGGTTTACTTTTGAATTGATTGTCGTTTCGGTGTAGGCTAGCTCTGCTACTAACCTCATTACGAAAAGCTCGGCCTGAAATATGCTGCGATGGGCAGGTAACCTTACTGCCCGCCTGACATTCAGCTCCTGTTAGCATTTTAGAGCCGTCCGGAAAAATTTTTAAGGGATCTACGGCTAGGTTTCATTCCCTTGCACCATCCCTCCTCCTCATTCGTGGTGCGAAAACGTCGTTCCCACTTAAAGCTAGGTGCGATGTAGTCCGTGCTTCCCACACCAAACTAAGCTGTGCCCAAAGGTTTTGGAATTGAATTCTCCTAAGACCATCAATCTACCTGCGGATTTAGCAGCATGGTTTTCTGCGAATAGGTCAATGGGTGGTAAACTGAGGATTTTTTCAGGAGCATCATCAGAATTAATTCTAGCAT